TAAAAAAAAAAAAAAAAAAAAGGGCGCGTGTGCCGGGGGCAAAAGTCAAGGCACGGCCACCGAAAGCCGCTTGAGCGTGCGAGGGAGGCAGAGGCGTGATGGCAAGGGGTTGGGGATGGATCAGAAAAAGGGGAGAGTGAGGACGGCAGGCGGAAGAGACAAGTGGGGAACAGGGCGGGGCGCGGGGAGCACCGGCAAAGGCGGGGAACAAAGAGGGATAGCGGGAAAGAAGAAAAGGAGCCAGGGGGGAAGAACGGACGCGCACGGGTGGGCAGGGTGTAGCGGAGAGGAGGGACGGGGGCAAAGGCGACGGGGCAGCGGGAGCAGGAGCAGTCATCGGGGGGGTAAGGGGGGGAAGAGGGAGGTACTGTACTGACCCTGTCCTTGGCTTTAGCATCAACACCGTGCTTCAACAGCATCTCCACCACCTTGACATGACCGTTACCGCAGGCCAAGTGCAGTGGTGTATCACCACCCTGTGGGATGATGCATCAGCATGACGTACAGGTACAGCATCATCATCATCATGGGGTACGGGTGTACCATCATCGGGGGGGTAAAGGGGGGAAGAGGGAGGTACTGTACTGACCCTGGTCTTGGCTTTAGCATCAACACCGTGCTTCAACAGCATCTCCACCACCTTGACATGACCGTTTTGGCAGGCCCCGTGCAGTGGTGTATAGCCATGCTGTGGGATGATGCAAACATGCAGTATATGTCCCATGTTATGTGACATATTCAAAGTGTAACCAATAGCACACAACATCATACCAAACAGCATACGTACCGTATCTTTGTATTGGGCAGCATCTCGTATACGTTGTTGGTCCCAACTGGTCACCAGCTGCAGCGCCTTTTGTGGATCTGATGACCAACACGCCCAGTACAGCTGCTTTCCATCATCACTCATGGTAACGGTATCTCTCTCTCTCTATTCACCATCCGCTTCAAACCGCTTTGCTTGCTTCTCTATCCACCACCAATCTCATGAGCCCCCTCCAAGCACAACTCGTCTGACAACCCAGAATTCGGACTGGGATCCGACAGGCGCGCGCCGTTTCCAAAACGGCAGCCGGTCAGCGGGCTCCTTGCTCTTCTCTGCCTGATGCACCAAACGACTCACCTCGAGACAAATAACTTGGTTGCGAGGACCGGTGGACTTGGTTGCCCAACCGCACGTTGTCGACTGTGAGGCGAGATCAGTGAGGCCAACTTCAGTTGAAAGCAAAAAAAATGGCAGCAGTGCTTTCAATCAAAACGTTCTGGCGTCGCCCCAAGGCCCCAACCAGGAAAGCGTACCAAGCACAAGCGATCAGTCGTCACACACACACACACACAAAGCAAGACACGTCAAGTCAGCTGATATCGAGATCAAGACCGATGCCAAAGAGGGGAAAGTCAAAGGCAAATGGCAAAAGCCAAAGAACGAGAAAAATGCGAAGAACACACACACACACACACACACACACACACACGTTTACACCTTTTTCTTCTTTTTTAATTTTTTATTTTCGGAGAAAAAGTCAAAACAACAACAGTCTTACAAGCAAATGTTCCAAAGCGCCGTCAAGCTTGTGTCCGTACCAACGTGGACTGCCCCTTTGCCTGGCATGACAGCTCGCCTCTTCCAAGGCGCTGTAAAACTGGGGCTTGAACGTACAACGTGTACTGCCTCGATGCTTGCCATGCCATGACGTTACAAGCCCGTTTGGCTAACTGCAGTCATATCAATCTTATCCCCCCGCCCGGATGCGAGCGACCATTCCTGACGGCGAGCGAGCCGGATTTAAGCTCATGGCAACGCGTCAACGAAAAGTTGGTCAGACGAGTGCGAGGCGCGCGCCCAATGACTGTGCTTCATGTCCTTCTTCTTGCTTTTTTTTTTTTTTTTTTTTTTTTTTTTTTTTTTTTCACTTGCGCCTGGTTTCTGCTCCTCGGGCGAGGTGGAGTATCGTGGCATCATCATCATCATCATCAGCATGAGCCGTTCAGGCAATCATTGGAGCACTCTGTCGACGCCCGTTGGTCTCGAAGAATTTTTTGGCAATCCTGAGTTTCATCACTGCTTCCAACACACGGTTGAGGTACGCCGTGATACCTCAACGACTCGAGACGCGGTCGAGACGAAACCTTGTTCCAGGGGTTTCGGGGGCGTTTGTCGGGAAGGAGCAAGACATTTTTTGCTGTCTGCAGGTCAATTCTACCAGCTGCGGTTGGAATGTATTCACAATGACCAGACCAGGTGCACCGTTGAAATAGCTGCGGAATCGCTCTCGGTTCCAAGGACAGGAAAAGTGCGACGCGTGTCCAAGCGCAGGTATCACAGCAAGAAGAGACGACGGTAGTCAAAGACGGAGTGGGCATGGCAGTCTGCCAGGATATTGCAAAAGTACTTGAAACACGCACTTGTGAGCCTTCCCACATTCAAAGGATGTGCAAGCAAAACCGAACCACCTTTGGGTATTCCCAACGAGGAGGCCTTGTGGTGAACGACGCTGGATGTGTGCAAAAGCAGTACAAGTGCCTGGGAGAGCAGGTTTGACTGCACGACAAAGAATCTCAACGAAAACATCTAGGCAGTGTAGTAGACGACTAGTTCGGGGTAAATCTGGGCGTTGTCGAACATTATCACCTCGCGAAACGTAACTTGCGGTGTAGCAATGACAGAATCAAATCTGCAAGACAACCAAACATGAGTCCCATCAAACTGTGAGACAGGACTCGACGACATTGCATCTTGATCGACATACCGCTCGTTGTTGGGTGCATTGGGCAGCAGCGGGGGAGCCAGCGCCCCGAAAGGAGGCGAAGGATGGACATAGGCACGGCCCAACAGAGCTCGCGTAATAATGAGCATGCGCTCGCCGTTTGCTCCG